GCATGGTGGTAGTCAAGAGTGGGGATAGGGCCGGCCGAGTGGCGCGATGGTTAAGAACTCGCTTGGGATGCCAGAGGGCCCCGGTTCGGATCCCACATATGAGGGCCAGTGACACTGCCCTCTACAGCTAAGATGCTGAACAACAGCTCAACCTGGAGCTGGGCTGCCCTGAGTCGCCGGCGACGGCGTGGGCTGCAGTCCCTGTGGCAGTGGATTGCCATGGGCTACCATGTGTGGCCAGCAGCCAGCGTGAGCGGCCAACAGCCGCAGTGAGCGGCCGTCCAGAAGCCGGCGACTGATCTGCCTCGCCAGAGAAGAGCTCAATGATGGTGCCAACTTGGGCCAGTGAAGCAACATCCTCCACAACTAGACTGAAGAACAAAAGGACAGCAACTTGTCTGTTCCCTATCCCCAGCACTGTTCCCATCCCCCCAATCCCCCAATAAAAAAATCTTAAAAAAAAAAAAAAGAGTGGGGATAGACCCCAAACAAACAAAAACATGACTTCTGGAATAGGCCAGCTGTGCTACTTAATCATTGTGTGACCTTGGGAAAATGGTTTAACCTCTCTAAGCACGGTTTCTTCATCCGTAAAATGGGCATAGTAACTCCCACTGAGCAAGGTTCTTGTGAGGACTAGGTGAGCTAACACGTGGGAAGCAGTAACTAAGGGTGTTGATAAAAATCCACTGTTGCTAATGCTGACGTTCATAAAGACGCCTACTGATCCTATAGAAATTCTACTCACCAAGAATATTTCTCTCAAATGCCCTCTCTTCTATGAATTTTGTGAGGCCACATTTCAGAAGGGAAATTGTTCTCCATTAAACCTGCAGCACCTTTTTTTCACTTCTCTTAAAGTTCTTATACATACATATTATATTCATTTATCTGCAAACATGTTCCATTTCTTGTGCTGAATTCCTAACTTTGCATCATGGGCAGAGATTATGTATCTTTGTATTTCCTGGGACCGAAGAGAATAGTGCCATGGGCTAATAGCTGCTCCATAAATATTTGAAGACTGAATGTGTAAAGAGAAATACTATCATTGACTCTGTACAATCTAATTATCACAGTATCAAAACATTTTAATGTCATTGACAAGGTAGACAAATGCATTGATATTTGGTAATGAAATAATACTTAATGGATATCTAAAACCTATTGGAAGACCATAATTCTTTTTCAGATGCATGTATTTATTTAGCATTCATCTTCGAATTTTATTTTTCACAACAGCTCTGTGAGGAGATCAGCTATTAATCTCTATATATTACTCATGAGGAAGCTGAGACTATGAGAATTTGTTATTGCCTTAGATTTACCCAAGTGATGACCTTTCCAACGAAATACCCATTGTTTAGCAATATGATAAAAGCTGTTAGGAAAAAAAAAATTAAAAGACATACAAAGTCCTGTCTCTCAAAATCAGGTCATAATATTTCAGGCAGGAAGTCAAAAAATACATTTAAAGATACATAGAGTAAGTAGCAATCAGGATCTTGTATAGGTAGGGCATGGTTAAATTCTCCAAGTCCACACATATTATGCATCTGACCTTCAATCATGCCATTTGAGGCAGCAGAAGAACATACATTTATGTGCCCCGATGAACAGATAAGGCCAAGAGATGACCATTTTAAATTCAATCATCCCTAGCCGAACCAGAATTAGAACCTAAGCTACGCAACCATGTCTTGGGCTGTGATCAACGTATTTATAGAATTCCTACTGTGTGCATCCTAACATACAGTCTAGTCTATTCACAAAATTCATTTTTCCTTAATTTTTAAGATGAAGTCAGTATTTGCCTGAAAGCAATAACCCTGACTTGGCCTATCAGACCTAGTTTTGCAAATAAATCACTCCACCCCACCCTTCCTTCCTACCATATCTAAGCATACATCAACTAGGTAAAGGTTTGATTGACTAAATGCTGCTATTTTGCTGTGCCTCCTGGTTCCTGTGAAAGAGCCACCTCCAGGTGAAGTAAGTAGAATGGGTGTTGGGTGCCATGCTAGTTACAAAGCAACATGTATGGTAAAAAGCCAAGAGGTTTCTCAGAGGAGTTGCCACAGGTTTCAGTGGCATGACAATTACAAGGTAGATGGATCATTTAACGCCTGCTATGGCCTTTACAATAGCAAGGATCATTATTTCAAGGTTAATTTGCATAATGGTTGGCCTACCAAGAACAATAGAGAATGCTAATAGCTGCAGGATGCAATAAAATTAAACATTATCTGGGTTGAACTGCTAAAGGAAAAGTTGTTAATGCATGGCTCTTTAAGCACTTTATTTCATCCCACCCAGGTCATGTCCACACACAATCAAATGAGGATTTCTGGGATCTCTTCAAACACTGGCAAGAAATGACTGGAAGGGAATAAATAGCAGCAAATTTCTTCAGGTAGAATCCTTACCTGGTAGGCTTTTTTTTTTTTTTTTACATGCCTGCCCTCTCTGAGGTAGCAGAGTTTGCAACTACCATCACCCCTCCTTCAAGCAACCCACCTCCAGCCTTGCCACTCCCTACATCTGACAGATACCCCAAATTTGATACACCAAGCAAGAATGTATCTCTCACCTTTTGGGCTGAAGAACTTTTCCTCAACCTTTGAAAGAAGTAGAGTTGACCATGGCTAGCAGTAGGTGATATTTTCAAAGCAAACAGACACGATCCCCTCAAAGTCAATAACCCTGCATTCTTAGTTGCAGGTGGCTAGTAGAGAAGAGAATAAAAATAGGTCGTCTCCATTTAGACTTATCATTTTTTTAACTATCCCTTATTGCCTGGAAATTGGATAGGTATGGCTATCTTGTACTTTGTATCCCAAATCAGTCTTTGGAACTTTTTATTTACTTACTTGCTTATTTATTTATTGACTTTTCTCCCAAGCGTTCGAACTCATTTCCACCACAAGAGGGCAGCCATCTCTTAAAAACAACCAGAGAGCCTGGCTCTTAAGAGAAAATAAGGCCAACATTTAGGAAGTTGTGCTTGTGAAACGCATTCAGCAGTCCCTCAGAAATTGCATAAACACACATAAAAGAGATCCTGTGATGGGCAGCGCTGAAATGATATAGAGTGTCCACAAATGCCAGTTTTCCCTCAGATTTGTGACTGTCGAAGATTATTTCATAAACTGACAAGGTTCCCATTTCGCAAGTTATGAAGGTCTAAGCTGCAAGACATCCTTGATGTCATCACCAGAGATTTATTTTTCATCTTTACTTGAAGAACGCTCAAGAGCTATCAACTTTCTCCTCTTTACAAGCTACATACTGATTTAGATCTCATAAATTTTATTCTGTTTTTAAAACCTCGCTTATGACAGAAACAATTGTTAACTTCTCAATTCAACTTGATAGGAAAGGAAGTATAATGGCTTCAGAAGCACAATAAACACTTTTTGACTTGCGTCTATGAGTAGAATATGCCCTATTGCCAACTTGTTTGATGTCCAATGATTCAGAGTGACACTCAACTTCCATAGCAGTTTATTTTCAGGGTGGGGGGAAGCATGTTCCTGAATATTTTGCCCACCCCAGCCCCCCATTTATTTTCCTAGTAGGTAAGCTTCCTCTGAAATACCTTATTTGACCTTTATACTTTGAGAAGCGGCGAGTGCCTAATTCCCCTCTGGGGGTTGCTAATCCGATTTATGTGAGCAGAACCTAGAATTATTTTAGCTTCCCAACTGAAAAAAATAATGCACATGGATAATAGACTTATGAGTTCCCGCTTCAGACTTTTCCCTTTCTGTTTTACAGGCTTGAAGGTTTTGTGTGCAGGCAAATTTGATTTTGCCATCTGGATTTTTAAAAAAATTTTCTGCCCTTGGCTTCTGGGATCATTTGGGCAATTCAATTGTGCTTTGCAAGGGAGCTCCTGGAATCCTGAGAGGGACAGAAAGCCTCGAAACTCCTGGTGCAGGAGATTTGGGAAATATTTCAGCTGAGGGAGACAAGTGACTTAACCACATGTCCATAAACCTGCTGGGGCCTGGTGGAGGTGGGTGGGACAAAGGTTCCAAGGTCTCAAACCAGAATTGTCTTGTAGGCTTGGCTCACACTGTGCATTATTTTACCTTCCTCTGAGCTGCTAATCGCCTGCCTCTGAGCTCGGTGAGATAAATATCACAAGGCATGAAGTGATTGCTACCATAAAAAGAAATAAAATCCCTCTCACATCCTCTCTTCACACTGACACACACACACACACACACACACACACACACACACACACACACAATTCCACATGTTATGTATAGCAGGATGACATCCATTTCACATGTACAGACATATTTACAGAAATATGTGCTTTCCTTAGCATATATTTACATGTATGGATATATTTAGAGATATACACGTGTATTTTTGTATATTACATATTTATCTAAAATACATGCACATATATATAAATAAATGTATACATATAGCTGTACAAATGTAAATGTGTGTGTGTGTTAAAGTTTAAGTAACACCCAGTTTCCAAATTCTAGTTTTCTTTTAATTCTCCTCCCACTCAGGGAAACACAGTGACTACCCCTAAGCCTAAGCCAAGATGCCTTGTAACTTGGTTGAGTTTTTCTTTTTTACTTAATAATCGTCTATTACCGAAAAACTTCAAACTGAAAGTTGAATAACGGGCCGGGTAGGGAAATGAGGGCTCAACCCCATATCTGTCCCGGATTTCACCCCGGAGAGCCAGCGAGGGTCTGGCGCCTCGGTCGCTATCCCCTTTGAGGTCAGAGGCTGGAGGCGCGAGCGCCCCCCTCGGCGGCCGCGCGTCCCGGCCCTCGGCCCCACCCCGCCGCGGCTGCCCCGGCGCGCCGTCCACACCCCTGCACGCCGCTCCCGCCCGCTCGGGGATCCCCGGCGAGCCGCGCCACCGAGGGGGAGGTGTTCGGCCTCGGCCGGGAGGGAGACGGCAGGCGGCGTCCCCTTTAAAAGCCGCGAGCGCCGCGCCACGGCGCCGCCGCCGCCGCCGGAGTCCTTGCCCCACCGCGCTGCGCTGCGCCCGGCTCGCGCTGCGCCCGCCGCTCCGCTTCCCACACCCAGCCTGGGACTGGCAGTCGCCGCCGGACATCAGCCGCCACAGGCTCCGCCGCTGACCCGAACGACCCCAGGGCGAGCGCCTCCGGGATTACTGGGGTCTCCGAGGCACCCACGCGCCCCAGACTCCGCTCGGGCTGGAGCGCCCGGCCGTGCGCGCCACTGCGCCGTGGCCTCGGTTCCCCGGGCCGCGCCAGGACTGAGGACCCGCGCGCAGAGCGCGGGGGAGTCGGGAGCCGAGGCTGAGCGCGGGGATGCCGGTGACCTCCTGCCGGAGCTCGGGGGCCTGGGACGCCCCGGCCGAGGTGTGATCGGACCCCAGGCTGGTCACAGAGGTTCCAGCAGCTTGGCCCGGAGGCTAGGAGAGCAAGGAGAGAGCGGGGCCACCCGCCTCGGCGACCCGGTCCTCGGCTCGACTCGCCGGAGAATGCGCCGGAGAACGACGGAGCGCCGGAACAGCGGTGGTTTCGACTGGCTAGCGCTAATGGGGGTGCGCTGGAGTAAGGCAGAGTGATGCGGGGGGGCAACTCGCCCGGCACCGAGATCGCCGCTGCGCCCTTCCCCGGACCCGGCGTCGCCCAGGATGGCTGCCCCGAGCCATGGGCCGCGGCGGAGCTAGCGCGGAGCGCCCGACCCTCGCCCCCCGAATCCCGGAGCCGGTCCCGCGCGGGGCCACGCGTCCCGCGGGCTCTGGTTCCTAAGGACAACGACAGCACCAGCTTTTCTTTTCTCCCTTCCCTTCCCTGCCCCGCACTCCTCCCCCTGCTCGCTGTTGTTGTGTGTCAGCACTTGGCTGGAGACTCCTTGAACTTGCAGGGAGAATAACTTGCGCTCCCCTACTTCGTGCCGGTGCCTTTGCCCTAGCGGACCCAGCCTCGCCGCCTCCGAACCCCACCGGCCCTCCACTCCTTCGCTGGGCCCAACCCCGAGACGCGGTTCCCTGCGTGAGGAGAGGGACTGCCCAGACGGCACCCGGGAGGAGAAGAAGGAAAAAGAAGGGAACTCGGTCCCTGCGCCAGGTCCTCCGGCCAGAGCTTTTTCCATGTGGAGGCTCTTTCAATGGACGTGTCCCCGCGTGCTTCTTAGACGGTCTGCGGTCTCCTAAAGGTAGAGGACGTGATCCCGGGTCTGGCTCTGGGGGTGGAGGGTGGGAGGGCGCGGGGCCCAGGAAGCCGCTGCGGCTGAGCCCCAACGGGACCCCTCCAGGCGGGACGTAAACAGACCCCCCCCCCTCCAAGTCCACGTGCAGCCGAGCCCCTGCTGGGATGCCCCCATCCTACTGCCCCTGGCGATCGTCAGCCTCGCCCTCCTGGCTCGTACTCTTCCGCCCCTCCTCCCACCTCCCTCTCTTCGGTATTTTATTAGGGCTCAACACTTAGATGATTAAAAAAGTCAAAGAAATCCCTTTGAGAGGGTGGCCCCTGGATTTCACCCGTTAGCTGCCAACCTGTATGCCCTGCCATGGCAGTCCCTTCTCCCTTCTTCAAATTTCTCTAGAGACCTGCTGTCTCTACTCAGAGCTACGTCCCATTTGGGAAAATACTAAAAGTTGGGGTTCTCTATGCTTGTTTCCAGGAATTCGAGGGGGCAGTACCTCAGTGCCACCTTGTACTAACATGTGAGTTAATAGATAGCCATTTATGTAATCCCAGGAAGATGCATGTGTATCTTAACCGCATTGGTGGGGGCCGGGGTTGAGGGG